CGTACGACACCTCATGTTTGAAAAGCTACACACGTCGCATATGAGGACAAAAGCGCGGGTAATTTTGGCACCACTGTAGAGTGGTGCCAAAATCGTTGGGTGGGTTGATGGCTAGAGCCCTTTTACCGCCGTGAGGCGGGCGCGCGCTACTGCAAGCGCAAGGGCTCTGGATAGAGCAACAGATTGGGTAACGAGATCACTGAATGAGTACAAAGATCACTGACTGAGTGCTCGGATCACGTATCCGATAGATTTTGAAATAGTCATAACTCAGCCAAATTTTGAGCAATGAACTTGAAACTTTGGGAAATGTTTTAAATTAGCTTACCTGGGGACCCCAGGCTATTATGTTTATAAACATAGCCTGGCGTAATTGAACCCTCTAAAACGCGCACATAGGCGCTGTTTATGCGATTTGACAATCAAATGATCAGATTTTACAATCTAACTCAGCGCGTGGCTTTTGTAGCGCATACGTCATTTCCTGGGGACCTCAGGCTATTATGTTCATAAACATTAACACAATAGAGATTCGGCGGAATGACAGGCTGAGCGTGGCCCAGTAAATACGTCACTTCTTTCTGATTGGTAGTTGGCGTGCACTTGTATCACGTGGTGACCCCCACGGTCGCTTCACTATAGACGCTACCCCTGTAGCGTCTTCGACGCTACAGGGGGAGCCGCGCACTTCGTGCGCGGCGGGTCATACAACGTATGACAAGCGTGCACGTGATCTTTTGCGCGGCTGTAATTGGTTCTGAACGATCACGTGAATGCAAGTCACGTGCGCTTTAACATCCAATGAGCATTCGCACTTTTTTCAGGGCGATGGAGGTCGTAATTCACTCAGTCTGGTTCAGATTTTAAAGAATACGCCGGTAAAATTTTTAAAAAAGTGTGTCTCTAGAGCAAAACGCGCAGTTTTGCTAGTATTTTAGTCAAGTTTTCGAAATTGTCTCACATTCAAAAGACGATTTGGCGCCTCCCTAAGACGGCGCCCCCCTGCACAGCGGTCAGCGGGGTCAGCAGGGCCTTTCGTTACGCCACTGATCATAGCGCTACAATTAATTTTTTATTTGGCACTGATGCTTAGTATTGTTTTTTTGATTAGGACGTCCGCCAAAATTGCAGATTTTCAGACCACCCCTTCCCCCTGTCCGGGTGTGTCTGAATTTTCAAAACCACCCCTCCCTATTTGCCGGACGTCCGTAGTTGATGGCCCCTAACCTTATAGCTGGACAAGGACCATTGCTGGAATTATTTGTGTATATTAATTGTGTAAATACTTTTTATAAGTATGCTTAAAGTGCCGGACTTCAACAGACATTAGATAGCTTGCATAATGTATTTTTGAGTTTAGAATATAACACTTGTTTGTTTCAAGTTCAACAATATTGGTAACAATGGACCATTCCCGTTACCTAAGTATTGTGCTCTGCCAATTGCATCACTTGATTTAATTGAATGTTTATATTGTTTAATGACCTTTTCTGCTCTGAATATAATACTTGTTGTTATGATACAAAGATCACACATACTCATGATATCTTAAAAAGAAAGCAATCTAACCAGTCTTATATAAGTTTCTAACCAGTGATATCTATATGATCACACAGATCCCAAAATCATGGATCTATTGACTTCGTCAGGTGGCATGGTGTTACTCGCTTGTACAGGAACAGCTGTTATGCCCTCAATACTTCCCTATGTGCCCACTGACATCATCAAGTTTATAAATGTTGGCTCATGCAGTGTTTCATTTGGAGCCCAGTTTTGGGTTGGCTCCATTGCAGGACTGACCATGAGGAAGGTTCTTGAGAGGCAAATTTTTGGTAGAGTACAATCAAAATTGTTCCCTAAATATGCCATGCTCAACACCTCTTGCTCGCTACTGGCCCTGGTGACCTATCTACAGTTGAATGAAATTGAACTCACTGAGGGTGTGTCACGAATTTGTGAAAAATGGGAGGGACTTATGCTGATATGTGGTCTTTTGGGAAATCTGGCAAACTCACTGTACTTCATACCTGCCACAACCCAGCTGATGTTTAAAATTTACGCTCGAGAGAACCTACTTGGGCTGGAACAGGAAATAGGAAAGAAAAGCCCCTTGAACAGTAGTGATAAAGCTACTGATGATGACAAAAAGCTGTTAAAATTTTTTCGAATAAGTCATGTTTGCACCATGATTCTGTCTTTGATTTCGATTGGTACTTGTGGGGCTTACTTGTATTTCATTGCTCAAAACCTTAAGTTTTGATGATGAACAATGAGTGCCATCATTGTTAAATGTTGATTTGCCTGATGATATTTTGTAGATGATGTGATGTCATAAATTTAACTTTACTTTTTTTTACTTTAATGATTGTATTGCTGGAATATTAACACTTTTTGACTTTATAAATTTTACTTTACTTTTTTTACTTAATAAGATATTTTTTTTGATAAATAACTGTTCTGATGATTGTATTGCTGGAATATTAACACTTTTTGACTTTATAAATTTTACTTTGCTTTTTTTTCTTTATAAGATAGCTTTTGTGATTAATAACTTTTCTGAGGATTCTATTGCTGGAATATTAACACTTTTTGACTTTAGAATATAGTACTAGTTGCCACACAATATAAATATACATTATTTTATACATTTGGTATTTTTAGAGGAAAAAAAGTTAATCAGTCTTTATCACACAGATCCCACAAACATGGATTTATTGACTTCGTCTGGTGGCATGGTGTTACTCACTTGTGCAGGAACAGCTGTTATGCCCACAGTACTTCCTTACGTGCCCAGTGGGATCATCAAGTTTATGAATGTTGGCTCATGCAGTGTTTCATTTGGAACCCAATTTTGGGTGGGATCCATTGCAGGACTTACAATGTTCAGAGCTCTCAAGAGGCGCACATTTGGTAGAGTACAATCAAAATTGTTCCCTAAATACGCTATGCTCAACACGTCTTGTTCGCTGCTGGCCCTGGTGACATATCTCCAGTTGAATGAGATTGGGCCCACTGAGGGTCTGTCACTAATTTGTGATAAATGGGAGGGACTTATGCTGGCTTGTGGTCTTTTGGGAAATCTGGCAAACTCACTGTACTTCATTCCTGCCACTACTCAGCTGATGTTTAAAATTCACGCTCGAGAGAACCTACTGGGGCTGGAAGATGAAATTGGACAGATGAGCCCATTGAAGGATAGTGATAAAGCTACTGATGATGACAAGAAGCTGTTAACAAACTTCCAAATTAGCCATGGTTTCAGCATGATTATGTCTTTGGTTTCAATGGGTACTTGTGGGGCTTACTTGTATTTCATTGCTCAAAACCTCAAGTTTTAAGGATGAATAATGACTGTAGATTGCTTTGATAACCAGTTATACCCGGCCACTAGTTACCGTGCCCCTATAAACCGGGAGCCCTGATTTTCTTGGATTTTTGTACCATGATTTTTATTAGAAATCCCTGAAAATTAGGGTTTTACTGTATGCACTGGAAAATTTTTGATAACTATTAACTTCCTGGATTAAACTAAAAAGTTTTGTTTGTATTGTTGCAGTGACCTTCCCTGATTTAGATTAAATCTCTTTATTGTGCTGTATTATTTCTTGAAAATAAATGAATTGATTTTCTTGAATTTGTGTTTTACTGTAATCTGTTGTAATTGAAGGATATTTAGCTTTCAAAAATAAATGTAGATTGAAATTAAAACAAATAAGATCCGTTATGCAACCTATTATTCATATCATACAAGATTTTATAACTGTAAGGAATCATTTTGCTTTTTGAAATGTTTTAAAAGTCTTTAAAAATGTTAACACATTAAATATTCTACCAATAACCAATAGGGTAAGGCACATAATTTTGTCAGGGTACCTAATTTTGTCATTTTGCTCTGAAAAACTGCCTCGGCTCGGAATTTCAGCTTGAAAGAAAAGGATTGTGTATAAAAAGAAAGCTTAGACTTTGCTGAAACTGCTCGTACAAAGTTTAAGTTTCTAGCTCTTTTGCATCTGTGTCAAAAATGAAGGCGAAACTGTTAACCCGAAAAATAAATGAGATCCTTAAGGTTTTCTTAAGGAATTTTCAAAATTTTGATTTATTGCTATTTCAAAAGTAATTGAGCTAGCTTCATGCCATTGCATATTTCAAATATCTTCTACAGCAGAAGTATACGTACAAATTTTCAAGTCTCTAGCGCAATTATTGTTCAAGTTACAGAGGGTGACAAAATTAGGTTCGATTTTGCCAAAAGTACCTAATTTTGTCAAAAAAATCGACCTTTCTTAAATTTCTTGTAAATCACAGATTGTGTTGAAAATGGCCTTATACAACTATTCTGAAGTTTTTTTGCCCATAGGATATGTATAAGGCACTTATAACACTTATAATAGCATATTTTCGCCGAGAAATATTAGGTGGATAATCTGATTTTTTCAATCTACAATGACTAACAAAATATTTGATGAAATTACTAAGCAAGTGATCTATCTACAGACATGAAAATTTCAACCTAGGCCTAGAACCAATCGTTTTTTAAGTTGCCAGTGGTTTCAGGGGCATTTGGGGCTATTTTCTAAGATTAGATACCCAAAAAGTGTCATCTTTTCATCAAGCTACAAAACTATGAAAACATCATATCTTTGGGATTTTTGAGGTCAATGTTGGTAAAAAAGCGCTCGAATGATGCATCCAGGTAGTCTAAAATACCGAGAAACGGTTACTTTTTGCACAATCTTCAAGTGACAAAATTAGGTTCGGGGTGACAAAATTAAGTAAAGTCACCTAATTTTGTCATTTTTTCAAAATAATTTTTTTGAACATCTTCAACCCCAGCAATTTCAATCATTTTTGTGTTAGAACTTGCCTAGACTGTCTACTATAACATGGTGGAGGTTTCATCTAAATCGGAATTTCAGACGAGGTTAAAACCCATGGTTTATATCAGGCAGTCGGAAAATTGCCAAAAATGACAAAATTATGTGCTTTACCCTATCCTCTTCTATTAAGAATGTGTACAGTAGATGTTTAACAGGTAAATGTCTAACATTTGGTGCTGTGGTAGAGCTTCTGATGGTCAACTGGGAGTAGTTGGAAATGGGAGTGTGCTAGAGTTAAATCATCTAAATATCAAAGGTACATATATAATCTAGTTTAGTTTGGATCACAGAGTCTTTTGGCTTTCACTAAAGAAAAGTTCATACTGTACCTTCTTTCGTCCATAACTACCATGCATGAGATGACTTAATATAACTTCACAGTTTACATTCCCTTTGCATCAGGTGTGAGTGGAGATAATGTGCGCAATATCTGTGGCAGTAAGAGGAGTACAGTTGTGCTAACAAGAGATGGTCTGCTCTATACAGCTGGTCAAGTTGAGGTGCTCGGCAGACCAGGAGATAACACACCTCCTGCTATCGTTTCTTCTTTAGAAATTTTTACTATAAGTAATTACTATAAGTAAATATATTGAAATTCCTGCTGCTTTGTTAGCCCTTTAAGATTTATAAAAGTGGTGGTTAATGACAAGAAGGAGGTTGAAGTAATGACACGTGACTGCAACTACAGGATTTGATCGGGCCATGTGTTACATGCTACATGCTGCCATTACCGATTTTGTTGAAATATATCACATGATCTCTCACAGAATCAGTTGCATGTGGTGAAGATCACACAGTAGGAGTAACAAGTTCAGGAGCAGTCTGCTCCTGGGGTTTCAACTCTCAGGGCCAATGTGGGCATCCTCCTCCACAATTCGTGCAGAAACCAACCTTACTCAGACCCCTCATAGGTTACTTTACTTTTCACATATTATGATACTTTAATGTTACCTACTAAATTTGAGTAACATTATGTGGTAGTACCATCTGTGAGGTAACCTTGTGAACACGATAAACTCAACTGAATTAAACCAATCAGGTGTAAAAGTGATCCATGTTTCATGCGGGGCTCGCCACACATTAGCGTTATGTGAAGGAGCAGAAGTGTTCAGTTGGGGGGATAACACGTTTGGGCAACTTGGCTGTAACTCAGAACAGAAGCTTTGTTATACACCGAGCAGAGTTACTGCTTTGGATGGAGTTCCTATCATACAAGTCAGTACATTCTCTTTCTGGTGATAGTCCACTATCTATCAACTGATTTTGTATTAGTACGTTTGATAATTCCTTTTATGGAAGTTGGTCCTGAAAACCTTTAATACCTAACAGCCTCGTGGCTCACACGCCACTTCCTCCCCAGATATCAGCAGGAGCGCGACACAACGGCGTGCTGACCGTCTCCGGTCATCTCTTTATCTGGGGCAGTAACTCATTTGGTCAGCTTGGTCTGGGTGACCTGATGCGTCGCCCCACACCGCGCTTAGTGCACCTTATGTTGAGTCACTGTATAGTGTCTGTGTGCTGTGGAGAGCACCACACAGCAGTGCTCACTGCTAAAGGAGCTGTGTTCACGTGGGGTGATGGTAATTATGGGCAACTCGGACACGCCAATACAAGCCAGCAGATAGTTCCGAGACAGGTTCAGGAACTTATGGGTGACAAGGTTTGTTAGAGAGATGTTTTATAACATCTATTTTAGGAACCATTTACCGGCATTTACTGTATCTATATAATTTAATTTGAGCTTTCAATTCGGGATCTTATCATCTATCTATCTAGTAATCGAATGTTTAACTTGGAAAGCCAATATTTCTCAACTAATTCCAACATGTAATATTATTGTATCCCTTCTAGTTTCTACTCACTTCGAAGATCAGTAATATTGTAGGAAGTGTACGTAACTTTGGTAAACACTTAACCACTGTAACACTGCTGTTTCAGATAGATGCTATAAGTTCTGGATATAACCACGTGATAGCCATGTCGTTGTCACGTGAGATTGATGACGTCACAGCTAAGCTATACGGGTGGGGGAGCTGCTCCTCCGGTCAGCTGGGTGTGGGGAGAGTAGTTCACAACATTCCTACCCCTACTCTCTTCCCTGATATCTGGACTGATGGTAATTTATATACTCTACTCTTCTTTCATTAATACATTTTTGATCGCGACTTTAGTTAATTGAAATTTATCTCGTCTTATTGAGTAGATTAAAAGTGATTGTTTGTTTTCAGCTGATTTCTTCTTGGGAGATATTTATTGTGGTGGAGAACAGACATTTGCAAGATTTTCAAGTGAGTATTACCCTACGACTCTACGACCAACCAACATTACACATGTGGTCAAAGATTTATTGTTGTGAAACTGCAAATAGTTCTGCGCATGTGGTTTTCAAACTCAAAATGCTCAACTTAACACTGAAAATATGTTTTCATATTAATACAATTGTTTCTCAACAGAACAGAACAAGAGTTTGTTTTGTAACACACGGTCATGTGACTTATCAGAAGAAAAGTTCGCATCTACTTTAGCAGATTTAGAAGAACTTAATGATCCTACTCAACTAGTTACCTATATTACTCGGGTAAGTTAAGACTAAAGATTAATTACTTCATTAAAATACATTACTTTTAATAAGTTTATTTCCATATTAGGTATGCGCTGCATTAGAGTCATCGATTTTCAGACTTACAGATATTAAAATGCCAGACAAGACGTCGTAAAATGGTCAAATAAAATGACAACAAATTTGCAATTTCATACCCTCATAACCTTCACGTTTCTGTGGCGAAGACATTTCCTAGTTTTGCCCCAATCTAAATTTACATTTAAAATATTTTCAGCTGTTTGGGAACGTAGCCAATATCAACAGTCTATTCGTGCCACACAAAGTCAGAACAAAGCTAGGCGAAGGTAGTGGCATTGACATGACACGGCTGAGAAAGACAATGGCACAACTACGGACTATAAAACACGCGGAGTATCACAAAGCTATTTCAGGGATGTTGGAGCACCATGTTATACCTCATCTCCCAAGTGATGTGAGTGGTTATGGTTTTCACGTGACATTTTATTATTAATTATTTTGCTCGATATATGAATTTTTTAAATTCCGGACATATTGAAGTAACTATGACATTCTGAACTGCTAGATCTAGTACTGTAGCGTTACTGATACTAACTTCATCTATCTTGCAATCTTACTCTTTGCAAATAGTAACTCTTACTTGGTAACTCTTAGTAAGTAACTCTTTTCAGATAGTAACGCAAGAGCAGTTACGGGTGTTCTGTATACTACCAGAGTTCCCTTCCTTATGTTATCCCAAAGACTTTGTCCCTCAATTCTCACAGGCTCTACTTGAACTTCCCGAGCAGCATTTAAAAGCACTTCGTAACTGGTAAACTCACAATTTGAAATGTTCTAGATATAATATATGTACCTAGAACATCTCAAATTTCAAACATTTTAAATTTTTTAATAACAATAATTTGACAAGTTAAACCTTACATTAATTTATACAATTTTACACAAGAATACATTGCAACCATGCGACTCATAAACAATACTCCAATCCGGATTTTACATTAATTTTACATCAGGTGGTCAGGATACGAAGTCTCATTTTTTGAAGCCCTGCTATCAGTCTTCAAGCGGAGTGTGTACAGAAGCTTAGTTAATCGACTACATGACCCCGTGGAAAATAATAAGCGGTTAAGTAAGTCATTAGTTTCAGTGTACAAACTGCAAGCTATGAAGCTATGAATATATAATAATGTTATTATATCAAATTTATGGAATATTGTAATATGCTATATCATTATGTTACATGAAAATATTATGCTAGCAGTCAATAACGAAACCACAGATATTCCTTTTAAGCTTAAAAGAATAAAAATGGTTGGAACATTAGAAAATCCACGATAGTGGGTGGGATTGGGGCCCAATAAACGATGGAAAAAAAGAGAACCATCTGCTTGATAGGAGGCACTGCCCCCGGAACAGTAGAGTTTCCATCCCACTATCTTAGATTCAATGTATTTTATTTTATATCTGTCGTTAAGGGTAAATATCATTCGTTGGCTATTGAGGGGAGAAAGTTATTGATTATTGAACAGTACAATTAAGTAAAGAACAACTAGACTGGACAATAATAACAAGATACATTAAGTTTTACTTGTGGAAATCTGAAATATTTGATATGATTGCACAGGATGTTAGGAATACATAACTGTCATTTGAATGTTGGGCAAACATTGACTAACATAATATGGTATACAGTAACATATTGTAAAGTAAGCTAGTAACACTGTTAAGAAACAGGTTTGAAGTAACTCATCACATAAATTCTTTTGTAGGATAAATAATATATAATCAATATATAACAAGTAAGTTTACCTGGGTTGACACACCGAGGACGGAAGGACTGGTGAGAGTAGAGGATCCCTTTCTGACAGATAATAACTTTACTACCCTGTATCACGTGTTGAGAGTCACACTCCACTGTAATAGCAGTTCCGTACGTTATTGGAAATGTGGAGTCAGTTGACAGGTAGTTCTCTAACATCATCCCCGTGCAGTACTCTAGAAAATATTGTAATGTTAGTGTTTTCTTGATATTTGTTATTGCACTAAAGACAAGTGCTGATAATCTTGGAAGTATCTGAGTGAATCTGGAATAAAACATTTTATCTTGAAAAAGAAGGCATTAAATAATTAAATTGCCCTTATATGGCAACACGATAAGCCCATATAAGGAGCGCAACTGATCGACGGTTGAAAGTCTCAGCTGAAAACAAACCTATGGTGCAAGTTGGTCGTTGCTTGATGGTGAAGGAAGTGCCTTTAATACAGATAATAGTGTTGTCACCGGCGAGAGTGTGACCTGGCTTGCAGTTCACTTCCACCACAGTTCCTACTATCACGGGGAATGTGCTGGTTGTTGTCATGTCTGATACAGAGGTTGGTAGTTCTGTACACATTTCTGAGGGTGAACGAGTTAGAAGAATCTGTTAAAGGTTTAGGTAACATTGTTCGGCTAAAGGGATGCCATATTATTGGCCTTCTGTTAATGATAGATAATCATCAAACTTAATATTATTAAATTTGCTTGATTTAGATATAAAAACACCTAAAACACAGTTAGGAGTGTCCTCATAATCCCAGTTCGCATCCTTGATGCAGGTGATAAGGTTGCTCCCTGACAGACTGTATCCGGAGATACAGTCCAATTCTATTGTTGCTCCGTGGTCCACTGGTAGTGCGTTGCTGGTCTTTAAGTTGAAGATGTCTGGTAGTCCTCTACACTTATCTGGAAGTAACTACTGTTATGGGAAAAGCTCCAATTTAAGCGGACTAAAATGTTTTTATTTGCATTCGTAGCCATTTAGATATCAGTAAATATGACGTCAGGTAAAATAAGCATGACAATGACATAAATTTCACCCACCAATAATACAAGTGGGAAGTTGCCTCTGTGAGATGTAGTCAGCATCCTGTACGCAAGTTATCATTCTGTCTCCAGAAATGAGTGTGAACACCTCAACACAGTTCACGAACACTTCAGCTCCCTTCTTCACCGGGAATACTAAATCTGTTTTCAAATGCCTTCCTATCGGCAACTCCGTACAAGTTCCTGTCAATTTCAATGTATAAATTTGGTGTTCTGCTGCATTTTGTTACTTAGAAAATATCAAAATAATACCATAATAAAAAGAATCATCTGATTTTCTCCTAAAAGTTGTTGCAACAATCTAACACATACCGGCATCATTGCATTTAGGTTTTTGCTGAAACTGGAAGTCTGTAACCTGGTTACACGTGATCACTTCGTCACCCCTCAGTTCTTTGTCTTCTGAACAACTGACTGACACTTCTGTACCGTGACTCACGGGGAAAGGCGTGTCCGTCTTCAGATGTGAGATGTGAGGAGGTAAACCAGAACAGGACTCTGATAGTTTGAGAGTCAACAACCATTATAGTTAATGAAAATGTGCATCATTTTATCAAATTAAATTAATCACATTTTGCTCTACCTTTAACCTATAATTTTTATTTCTGATAGAATTGCACAGAATTACAGTTCGACAACAGATGAATGTAAATCCAAAGATAAAATATTTTTCTTTGCCAGATTAAATTTGACTCACTTTCTTCGCACGAAGGAAGTTGACCATGGACAGACCGGTAGTTATCATTTCTGATACAAGTGATGACGTCACTACCTTCTAAAGAGTACCCAGCGTCACAGTGCACTGTCACCGGGGTATCATAGGACACTGGAAACTCTGTGAGCGTTTGTAGGTTCTGTATATTCGGCAGTTGGCTGCATACGTCTGCAAGAGGATTTTAAGAACAATGTTCAAACATGATCATTAGACAATTGCTTAATTTTTGTGGAAGGATAATCAAACCAATAATATGCAATAATTGATGCTTTCTCTCAAATTTTTAAAATAGAATAAAAACCAATAATTGCACCATGCCAATGTTTTCAAACCTTTTATACAAGAGGGAGCGTTAGTGGATGAGAAATCTGTTCCTTCTACACATGTGACAGTGCTGTCTCCAGTCAGAGTGTGTCCGGGACTACACTTCAGGGACACTTCATCCCCAGGCGGAAGAGGGAAGTCTGTCTCTGTCATCATTTCATTCCAGTTTGAGGGAAGACTCTCGCATGAAACTGTCAGATTAAGGAATGATTAACAGGATTGGTATTGAATGATTAGTCCCTCACTCCTCAGCTTTGATGTAAGTTGGTTTATACTTGTCATTTACGATAAAGCGGTCGAAAAAATGAAAGTTATCAGCAAATTACATCCCTACTCAGCGGTAAGACTAGCTGATAGTAAGCTGTAAGACTAGTTAGTAAGACTAGACATTTACCACAACGTGCATTATCTTTACTAGCGTGAGATCCTTGAGGACATGGTGTACACAGCCCAACACTCGCTGCACTGTAAGTGTTGTCAGGACATAGTTTACACTCAGTCATGGAACTGTCTTTATAGCTTCCTGCTGGACAGGGCTCTGAAGAGGTTTCAAGATGATAATATTGACATGCACCATCGTAGCCCCCTATTGTCGAACTAATTTTTAATAGAAAACATCTTAGATAACGAACTACGTTATTATTTCACTTTTTTTTTGTTACATTTAATTGTTTTTATATATTATCTTACGCAGACCAGCAAAAATTACTGAGAAAATCCAAAACATTCAATTACTGTATTTGATTACTCACCACATTCATTCTTTTCGGTGTTCAATTCATTTCCTATCACACAAGATAATGTACAAGAGGTGGCACCCTCAGGGCTGAATTCCCCAGGCTCACAGGCAGAACATTCAGTTTTCAGCCCCGCCTCTCCATTGAAAGTTCCTGGAGGACATTCTTTGCATTCTGTAGTTTCTTCATCTTTGTATGTTGCAGGAGGACAATCTGAAACAGTAGAAGCATTCATTAGATTGATACGATGATGGCTGTATCAGTGTATAAAAAGGGGGGGGGGGGGGGGTGACACGTCCGTCTATGTCCGCTTGTTTCATAGAATCCAAAAAGGACAGGACATGACAGGACATAGGCGGACATAGGCGGACATTAGCGGATAAAAGTGGACAGCAAAATGTTCGCGAACAGTTGATTGGTTACCAGATCATATGACCGCATATCAATCATGAAATGTTATGAAATTGAATGGTATGTATGGTATCTTGAATGCAATTAGTTACGACTAGCATAATTTGCCATTATCAGTTGCCATCATCAACAACAACAACAACTATTCCAATTCCTGACATGGTACTCTTCTGTCTACTGAACGAAATTAATGGACCCACGGCCTCCAGCTCCCTAGAGAATGCACGAGACTTCTTATTGTCCTCTCTGGAAAGAAGCTCACTCTCAAGACCTTTTTACAACTGCTGTTATGTTTGAGTATAAAAGGACTAGCTGGCATTACGATATCACAGTTGACGGGACTGACAGAAAACGCGGTCTGTCACTTCTGTGTACTGTTATTATGCAGTCATATGATCTGGTAACCATCATGTCATAAGTTGTTCACGAACAACTGTTCACGAACAGGGGTCAGGCTATCTGGATACTGCCGAGGACTATTGTACTTGGATACAAGATCTAGACCTATTAGATGGTGGCATTTTTTATAGAAATAACTACATTCGAAAATCGTGAATCAAATGGTCGGCTTCGAAAAAATATTCATGGCTCATTATGATCTCAAATTTTAAGAATAGAAGAAAAACCAATAATTGCACCATGCCAATGTCTTCAAACCTTTTATACAAGAGGGAGCGTTAGTGGATGAGAAATCTGTTCCTTCTATACATGTGACAGTGCTGTCTCCAGTCAGAGTGTGTCCGGGACTACACTTCAGGGACACTTCATCCCCAGGCGGAAGAGGGAACTCTGTCTCTGTCATCATTTCATTCCAGTTTGAGGGAAGACTCTCGCATGAAACTGTCAGATTAAGGAATAATTTACAGGATTGGTATTGAATGATTAGTCAATGAGAAAAAATATTTATGGCTCATTATGATCAGGGTAACCTGAAAAGTAAACAAAAGTTGTTTCCAGGATAACTTTGTAATTTTTTTGACTCGGGACAAGACCAAGGACAGGACAAAGGCGGACATTGTTGGACATGTCATCCCTACCCCCCCCCCCCCCCCCCGGCCCCCTGCCCCCCTGCTTATCTC